AACCCCAAAAGCCCAAAACTTGGAACCCAAGCACCTAAATCCCTAAACCCTAAAACCTTCCAGAGAGCCCAGTACCCCTTAGCTAAGGAATATGGCTTAAAGAACAAAGGACTCCAAAAATTGTGATTTCAGCCATATTCCTTAATTAAGGGGTATTGGGCTCTTTGGGCCAATGCCCCAGGTTCAGCTTCAAGGCATGCGCCGCCACGAAGGGCTGAACGGACGTCAGGGCGAGGCACGACCTGGCGAGGAGTTGTTCCGTTAATAAGTCTATAGTCTCCTTAGGAATTATTTTCTATCTTTGTTCATATAAAACCCAAGAGAGTACTGGATTAAACATATTTTTTGTTATGGTTCTAAGGGGGGTATAGAAGTTAGTAGCCGAGTAAACAACCTGTAACCTTTTTATGGTTCATATCATCCTACCATCGTTGAAAAGGTTAACCTTTTTTTTTGGGCTTGGATACTCAGCCCCTAAGGCAAGGATTCTATACTGGGGTTTGGGGTTTAGAGTTCTTAACTTTAAGGGCTCTAGGATTCTATAGGGGGTTTAGAGTTTAGGTTTCCTTTGAAGGGGTCTAACGAGGATGTGGAATTTGGTTCTTTGAGGGGCCCACCAGATTCCTTTAAGGGGTTTATCATGGTGCGACAAGGTTTCGGGTATTGCGCGGGTTGTTGAGAGGTTAAGATTCAGGCCAGAAGGTTAAGGTGTAACTTTCGGATCTGGCTCTAGCTTCAACGGCCAGGCAAAAGACCTGAATATAGACTCATAGACTCTGAGGATACCGTTGATTGATCCTCAGCAAAACACTCAGTTTCAGCCTTTGGATAGCCTTTAGGGCCCAGAGGAAGACTCATGTGACTCATGTAGGAACCTGATTCAGAAACCTTGGGCCTTTATTAGGGTTGGTGGTTCCCTCTATGAATCCCTACTATTTTGGGGATACAGGCCGGTGTTCCTCAATCAGCTTCCTACATACGTCTAGGCTTTCAGTGAGTTTAACGTAGGATCAGTACGGGGCTTCGGATTTCGTGTGCGGTCCCTGCTAGTCAGATGTTTTGCTGAAGGTTTCAGGTCTGTGCCTTGGTGACTACCCGTACCCAGAGAGCCCAATACCCCTTAACTAAGGAATAAGGCTTGAATTCTACAGGGCTTCATATGATGATTAAAGGTATATTTCTTAATTAAGGGGTATGGGGCTCTCTGGGCAGGCTCCATAGTCGTTCCTTTGTGGGGTTCATGTTTAGAATCCTGTAAGGTAATCCCTTCTTAGTTCAGCGTTCGTGCTATGCCTCCTGATATTCCAGCCTGCGATTTCGTGCCCTTGCATTGCGAGACTCTTGATGATGGCGCGAGAGAGAGAGAGAGAGAGAGAGAGAGAGAGAGAGAGAGAGAGAGAGAGAGAGAGAGAATCCCAAGAAGGAACTACTATGGAGCGTCTGGGGTAGTGCTACGGCGCTGAGGTTTAGGGGTTTGGGGTTGGTCGGTCTAGCTTGATCCGATTTAGCCGCCCTAAACCCTAAACCTAGCCACTGGGAAGAAAGTTGAAGGGATTTTTCGACTGCTTAGGACAGGCTTGCCGCCCGAAGCAGTCAGCTCGGGGGCTTCGGGCATTCAGTACCCAGACACCCGAAAGGATCCAAAAAGTAGATCCCTTAATAGGGGTTCCTATAGAGTACCAGTACCCTTAGTAGTATAGGGCCCCAAATGAGGGGATCTATTTTCTAGATCCTCCCGGGGGTCTGGGTAAGGGGTTAGGGTTTGGGGCCACAGGGTTGAGGTTCTCTGCCCTGAATAGTTGAACTCCTTAGAGGATCGTGGGACTTAGTAAGAAGGGTTATAAGTCCCGTAATTAAGGTTATAAGTAGATATAACTAGAGTCACCTTACTTATAAGCCTATTTACTAAGTCCCCTGATCTTCCAAGTTGATCGCAAACCTGCAGAGTTCCTCCGTCCACCCCTTAGCCAACAGCCTCTTCCGGTGGGCATTGGTTTACTTAGCTGCTGAGAACCGCGATTCCGGTTCGGGGCCTGGGGTGAACAGCAAGCATTAGGGACCCAAAAAGCATAAGCATTTTATAGGGATATCCCTACCTTCTTGGGCTTCATTACAAGGGGGTTTATATGGGATATCCCTATCCTATTTTTTGCTTATGTGCTTTTTTGGTTCCCCAAGCAGGCGTCTCTGCACCCGGCTCCCCAAAGCCGCGCGCATCATCAGAAGCTTCCAGGTCTTGAGCCGCATTGCAGATGATCAGGGATTCCTCCTGGTGCGCGTTCAGATGGAGGATGGGGCAGCAAAGAGCCTCCATCGCAGAGGGCAGACTTGTGACGTCGTCGTCGCTACACTGTTCTGTTATTTTCTCTCCGTCGCTTTTGTTTGCTGCGTTGCTAATGCTGGGTTTGTATGCGGGGGTTGGTGTTTGCTACAACAGCTCGTTCATTTTATTAGAGCCATGCATCTCTTTTTTTCTAAAGGAGGACTTCACCATGAACAAGCGGTGGGCATCTTGTGTTCCTGCCTCAACCCTAACCACCCCCCCAGAACTGGCGTCACCCTCTGCCCCTAAGGCCCTAAGCTTCTCACATGATTCTAGGGTACATTCCTCAGCTAGGAGTTCGGGTCTCTGGGTACCACCAAAGCGGGTTCGAAGAGCGGGGCTGCCAAAAGCCGGAGCTCGCGTGCTTCATTTCGGGCAGGGCTTCTTCAACTCACGGATCTTTTTTTGGCAGGGAGTCTGTATTTAAGGATCCTACGTATAATTTTGGACATGAGGCCTCGATTGGTTGTGGCTCAGATGCCCCAGCTTGGCAGTTAGTTTAGTGCGTCGACTTTTGAGTATTGGGTTCGGACTTTCGATTCTCTGGTATCTTAATGTGTATGACTTCGCTTCTGGTATTGGTTTTCCACGGCTATGCCTTTTTTCAGCTTTGGAAGTTCTATATCGGCTTGCCATCATGTCCTCCTCCTCCTCCTCCTCCTCCTCCTCCCCTCGTTTGGCTCGTTTGGGACGTTATCGAATGTAGCCTCTGACCGAGGAACATGCGCGTACAGCCGCGATGTCTGAAGCCCCTTCGGCATCCGAAGGACGGGGTTTAGGGGGCCGGAGAGCCAAACAGGGAGACTAGTTCGGGTTCAGGACAGATGTGTGAATGATTACCATGATTACAATATGCCTTCAACGCTAAAGCCTGTTTGGCCTTGTTTGACAAACAGAAAAATAGCCTGAGTGTCATGTCAGACCGGTTTGACACGTAAAGTCTTTTTACAGATACATGTTCCGGGTCAGTCGCAGATGTTGCATATTCAGGTACAGATAACTTCATGCGTCGCCGCGACTATCTCTCCGTCTCGTAATCTAGACAGGAACGTACACTCAAACGACGAAGAAGTGTGTTACGAGCGCTTGTATTTTAACCATAAGAAAGCTGAAACTTTACCGTTTGGCCCAGACACCCAGGAGACGAAGCTCCGCACCCAGGATATTCGCAGGATGCCCTTTGTTCGACCATAGACACCAGGGTTTGGTGCTAAGCAGCACCAAACACGCCCTTTAAAACCTGAAGCTGAAAACTGGACTCCGTAAGCCCCAGCGCGAAAACCCGCAACCCCGAAATTGCATGCCGAAGCCCGAGGACAGCTCCCTTAACCTATTCAACCGTACTCCACCGTAGTGGTATTCCCATGAAGCAGGAGGAAAAGAGCCCTCAACAAAAAACGAGCACTATAAACTACTGAGCGATGCAGGATAAGCGGACGCGCGGGGCGCACCTCGCGGGGTTCGTCGACCTGCAGCGTCTCTGTCGAAGATGGCGTTTTGGGGCTTGGGCTCTTTCGGTTTAGAGTTGGAGGTTTAGGGCTTAGGGCGGAAGAGCGGCAAACTACCAGGCGTCCTTGCAAGCAAGCCTGCAGCAAAAAGGGCTTAGGGGTTAGCACACAGTCGAGGAGGTTGGGATGTCAAGGCAATCCAGGCGAAGTGCGAAGCCTGCTGCAAGAAGGGCTATTAGGGGTTTGTGTTTCAGCTTTTCTTGGCTTTGAGATTTCGGTTATCAGATCTTGTGTCATGATCAAGTTTCGGGCTGAGATCCCTTAATGGGGTTCCTATAAAGTACCCTTAGTACTATAGGGTCCCAAATTAGGGGATCTACTTTCTAGGGTCTAGTCTCATCCCCCAGGTAGAGCCAGTGAGATCTTCCATCACGGTGCGGCGTTCTCTGTCTACGTGCACAAACATGCACACACCAGCGAAAAACACACCGAGCCGTTGGTACCTGGGTTACATGCTTAAGTACACCGACTGCATACACGCCCACCTTTTACTTACCTGCCTGCCTGCTAGCTACCTACACGCACACCGACATATACTGCATGCCGCATTCCTACACTCATTCATTCCTGCATACCGACACGCATTCACATATACACGCACACACACACACACACACACACATACCTGCCTACACGTACATACTCCATACATGCATGCATACACACACACACACACATATATATATATGTATATATATATATATATATATATATAGATATACGTACAAACGTGCATGTATGACAATGATTCATGTGGTCAGACCTTGAGACTGCCTTGCTAGCTGTTTCCTGCATGCATGTATACATGGTTTTGCATCAGGATTCTGTATGCTAGTGTTTTCAGATACTCGTAGGTTAAGGTAGGTATGGGTGCACATGCAGGTATGGATGCATGGATGCATGCATGTTTGCTAGTATCCCTGGTGAAGCTTCCTATGGACTGCCGTCGCGCCTCACTTCTTCACTTGCTTTGTTTCATCGTTCAGGGTCCAACGCGAGATTCAATAAACCGCGAACCTCAAACACCAGCCACTTTTTCAGCTCAAGTCCCCCCGAAGCCGGGCCGTCTCACCAGGGATGAAAGCCATGGTAGCGGAAGGTTTGGAAGATCTGCAGCCAACGCCGCAAGGACCTGCGCGCACCTGGACCTGGGACGTCTTTGCCTTTGCATGGTCGATCATGATGGTGAATACCGGCACCTTCTCCGCCGGCGCTGCCACGCTAAGCTTCGACCTCTCCGTGCCCGAGGCACTGGCGGGCCAGGCCGTGGGTGCCTTGATCCTGGCTGTTGGCTTGTCGCTCAATGCTGCGCCGGGCGCGAAGTACGGAATTCCCTTTCCTGTCCTGGCACGCAGCTCCTTCGGAAGCGGAGGTGCGCATTTCTGCACCCTCACACGTGGGGCCGTTGCTACAATGTGGCTAGGTTCCCCACTAGTATCCTTTTGCCCTTTCATGTTAGGGCCCCCTTGTTAAAACTGAAAAGTAGGAAAAAGGGCAACCTCATTATTGTGAAGGGTCTGCTGGGGAACCTAGGTGGCTATCCTTCCAGTGTTGGCAGGGCGCTTTAGGACTCTACGCGGCCCTCGTGCGTTGCGTGGGGGAGGATGCCGTCGAGTATTGGGGAAAGCTTGATGCGAAGTTCCATGCCGTGACTGGGTTCTTGTTAAGGGTTTTAACCTAAGTTACCATAATTTGAGGGATGGTAAAAGAACCCCGAGAGCAGTTTTTAAGTAGATGAGTCCGTAAGTTGAGATCAACCGGCTTCCTTGCAAAACGGTAAGAGTAAAATACAGCGATAACGAAGATGTGCTACATGCTGCAGTCCCAAAGTCATCCAAAGTCCTATAAAACGATAAGAGTAGGAACAAACGATAACCGAATTAAGGGTCAAGTAAATGGGTGGTGGGTTTTCACTCCCCGTCTCATTTACTAGAGATCCCTATTATGGCCATTTATTTTAAATTCCTTCACAAGATCCTAGGTGAAGCTTGTCATCTTTATGGCCTATTTGATGATGCACGCAGTGCTCCTCCAGATGGGCTTCCAGAAGGTCAAGTGCGCAATCTACTGGGCTCTACCGGGTCTCATCATCGGCATGGGTGTCACTTAGTGGCTGAGTGGATACATTTTACACTTTTTGGGATAATATTACCCACTATAAAACCCCTAAACCCCTAAACCCTAAACTCAGCAACTATAAAACTGAAAGTGTGTACCCTAAACCCCTCAACCCCAGACCCCCAGACCCCTAAACCCCTAAACCCCTAAACCCCTAAACCCCGAAACCCCGAAACCCCGAAACCCCGAAACCCCGAAACCCCTAAACCTAAACCCCTAAACCCTAAACTCAGCAACTAAGGTCATCGCTCTTTGGGCCCAGACCCTGAGTCCGACCTCAGAAGCTCTGGAAGCTGCAGAAGAGAAGGGGCCCGAACCTTTCGAAGGGAGCGAGGTCTGGAAAGGGCCAAAAGAAAGGGTTTGGGGTTTAGGGTTTATAGGGTTTGGGCTTGGGGTTTGGGGTTTAGGGTTTGGGGTTCAGGGTTTATAGGGTTTGGGTTTGGGGTTTGGGGTTTAGGGTTTGGGGTTCAGGGTTTATAGGGTTTGGGTTTGGGGTTTGGGGTTTGGGGTTTAGGGTTTGGGGTTTATAGGGTTTGGGTTTGGGGTTTATAGGGTTTCGGGTTGGGGGTTTAGGGTTTAGGGCACATTCGCAGCCTAAACGCCTTCCAACATGTAATTTGTGCACGTGTGAAGCAGCATGTTGTGTGTACGGCATTGTGGCACAAGTGCTCTAGCAGGAAAAAGGTAGATACCCAATGGTATTCTGCTGTGTTTGCTAACACTTGGACGGGTATATTATCAGTGCGTGTGTGCAGTGGTTTACAACAACTAGAGGTTATCAGCCGTATAGCCTACGGCCTGGTCACAACTGGTTGGTTACAATACAATCAATCAGCGCATGAGCGAACCGGAACTTATTCCTGCAAGTATGGATACAGTTACAAGCACCGTGAACCCTTTACAGCCCCCGGTCACGGGTGGCCATACAGGGAGCGGCGCCCCCGGCTTAGTTTTCCCGGCACCAGCCTCAGTCCAACAATTCAACGTCTTCGCACCACAGTATAGTGTTGAAGTACACGTTAACCAGATCAGACTGGAAGTCGGAGAACTAGAGGCTCAGGCAGAAGCAAGACACAGGCAACACATGCTGACCTATCAAGAAGCATCCGCAATTCACACAGCCGACTTGGAGCACAGAGCAGAACGAAACCACCTTGAAGTGGTAGCAGAACTGCAAGCAGCCTTGGCACAAAGCGAGTTCAAGGCGGCAAATCGTGAAAGGCTCCTGTTGTCGGAAATGACTTTGAGTCAAGCGCATTCCTATGATGAAGATCAAAGGTTGCGTCAAGAGTTAGCGGAACTTCAAAACAGCCGAATCACAGACGCATTGGATCAACATTTGGCGGAATCACGCTTTGCACAGAACCTCGAAGAACAGGCGAGACGGCACATCGAGAATTCCCAGGAAGTCATGGTTGAACAGTTCCAAGCACACTTTGAGTTGTTTAGGAACAGGCAGAAAGAAGAGTATGAGGCGTCCCTTGCTGTATGTAGGGAACAGAATGAAGAGCTTCAGGACAAGTTGGATTCTGCGGAAACTGCACTAGAGAAGGTCTTGGATCAGTACAATCCAGCTACTCCAAAGAGTCAGCCAGTGCCTGCTCCAAGCACCCCTGCAGGTCCTTCTGTCGTCCCCAAAGCTCCTCAAGCGCCCATGTTCTCAATGCCGAACGTTATCCCCCAAGGCGCCAGATGTCTGTTCGAGTCAATGAATCCAGGAGGTTTGAATGCTCAGTCCATTCCGTCTGCAACAGCATCTTCAATCCCCAAGGCAGGACCTTCCCAGGCAGCGCCAGGAACAGCGGCCCCTCCAGCGGCCGATTCCGGCACGCCAGGGACGGATGCTTTCAACACAGGTCTCCTAGAGACCCAAATGGCAATTCTTCAAAGCCTAAGAAACATAAGGGGTGAGAGCAAAACCGATGCTGACAAACCCAAAGTGAAAGAAGCAGAGTCTATCAGCCTTCCGGAGTTTCCAAGTCCAGAGTCGTATCGTTCGTGGAAAACGGCAGCTAGGGAAGCGGTCAGGGCAGCATCAGATTCACCTGATGAGGCGTTTAAATGGGTGATGAAGGCCTACGACAAAGACGCATCGCAGGAATCCCTTCGAGACCCCGAGAAATTCCTCACCCTTGACACGAAACTTCTTGCTGCACTCACCAAAGTCGCTAGGGGAGAACTCTCCCGAGAAATCCTCATTTTTAAGGAGACAGAGGCGGCGAAATTCAGGGCGGTACGAGGACGACAGGTGCTCTACCTCTTCGATCAGTACTTCAAGACGAACGAGGAGGTTGGATCACTGTACTCCGTGGAGGACCTGCTGAAAGTAAGGTTAATCAATGACGACCTTTCAGTGTTCATTAGCAACTGGGAATCTGTCATGTCTGGGCTCAGCCACACACCGGACGAAACGACCCTAAGAGACATTTTCCTTCGTGAACTCAGGCAGTCCAAGAGACTAAAGTACGATCTTGAGATTTACGACAGGGCAGCAGAGGGCACGGATCAGCACACGTACAAGTTTCTTGTGAAGTCACTTAAGGATCTTTTGACCCGAGAGCGCAAACGCAAGAACCGTGACCGCATCGCAAGATCTCACGGAGATAAGTACGGTGCCCCTGCCTCAAAGTCTCCGGGCCGAACTTCCAGCCCCTCTTCAAGAGGAGGCCGTGGCAGATCGCAGAGCCCAAGGCCAAGATCACCCAGCAAAGGTAGATCCCAGTCTCCCAGCAAGCCTAGGACACCTAGCCCAAAGGGAGTATGCTATGATTACCTCAAAGGAACTTGCAAGCGAGGCAATAACTGCCCTTTCCTTCACAAGAAGAGATCATTGTCCCCCAAAGGCGACAAACCCAAGAAGAAAATCAACGTGACATGTAAGTTCTGGAAAGAAGGCAACTGCAACAAGGGTGATAAATGTCGGTTCCAGCATAAGGACGTAGAGAAGCCCTCAGCTCCAGCACCTAAGTCCGAAGCAGCCCCGGCAGCTCCAAAGCCAGGGTCACCCAGGGCCAACTCTCCTGCTCCGCGCAGAGGGAGAAGTCCCAGGGCTAAGTCAAGTGACAAGGCCCCAAAGACGGCCGCATGCGCCATCGCGTTCGAGAATACAGCGGATCTTGAGATCTGGCCAAAGCTCGCTATGGCAGCGTCACATGACGAGGACTACTGGGAGGTAGACTTCACCGGCAACAAAATCATCCGCCACCACAAGAAGTACCGAACAGATTGGTATGTTCCTGACAATTCATGTCCAGTGAACCCCAAGAAGCTTAGGAGCCAAGCTAAGCTCGAGCAGGTTTTGCCGGTCTCCCCTTTCGTGGGAAACAAGATCTACAACTGGAGGAAGACCCCAACCAAAGGACCCGGCAGCACATGGGTAGGTAAGACGATCTTCTACATGCAAGAACTCCCTAAGGTGAGTTTCGACAGCACCGTAGAAATGATTGCCATCGAACCGGAAGGAAAGCAGAGAAAGCACGCCTACCTTCCCAGGGTTTATGATGAAGTCTATCCCACTGTCGAGGCATGTCCACGCTCGAATCCTAAGGATCTGAAAAGGGCTCTTGTGTGGGCAAAGCAGTTTGCCACCATGATCGAATGCATGACTCACGACACGCCTGCGGGATGCGGGTATGAATGCATGGAGGAAGGCTTCCTCTGCGAGGAGTGCGAGCGACTTGCACGTCCGTCATGTGCAGGTCTGGTCCCCGGCTTAGAATTCCTAGCGGATACCGGAAGTGAAGAGGACCTCATCAGCAAGTCGGACTGCAGAACTCACTTCCCCGACGTACCCATTGAACCTGCCTCACGTCCTGTTTCTTTGATCACCGCCAACGGGCCGGTAAAAGGTAACGAAGCCGTTAAGCTAGAGGTCCCTGAAATCAACAAAATCCTCGAATGCTACGTGCTAGATTCAACGCCGCCGGTGTGCTCTGTTGGTAGGAGATGCATGGATGAGGGCTTCGATTTCCATTGGTACGCAGGGAAGACGCCTTACTTCGTGACACCTGAAGGCCGGAAACTTTACTGCAAGCTGCGCGGGCGAGTCCCGGTAATTGGGGATGGTACAATCGCCGTTCCCGCCAAGGATGAGAAAGCGGCTCATTCGCCAGTCATCCAGGCAACATCGGGTTTTCCCCGTTCAGCGGCCTAATAAGGCACGCCAATGCAGCAGAATCCGAGCCGGAAGGCGAATCCTCGGGCAGTGGCCTCGACCCCAGGATCGAAAAAGCACTGAAAGAGGCTGCTCCGTTAGGCATAAAGGCGGAGTACTTGAACAAACCAGGTTGGGTTTCGCATCCTTCCTTTCCACAGATGATCGTGGGGCACTTTCCCAAAACCTTTAGAACGCCTGCTACAAGGTTTCCAAAGCACGTCATCCGGAGTACTTGGACTTATGTCAAGAAATGGCAGGAGATCGAAAAAGACGTGGATGTAAGGACGTTGGACAATCGGGTAGCCAAGCTCCCCTCTGATGCCTGCATTCTCAGTGTAACGATCTTTAAAAGACCTGT